TTTTGTGTGAGTGTACCGTCAAATCAGATCTGACTGGTACAGGAGGAGATTGTCCCTCCTTTTCCCGGCAGAGCATCTGGTGGATTCAAACCATGTGCCTCTGGGATTGTAGTTGCAGCTCCTTGCCACTAGGCCACCTGAGCTCCCCAAAAATAACTTTTTGAAAGGAAAAAATTAGTTCAATGGATGACATGATAAAAAAATAAGTGGCTTTCCTTCGAAAACTTAGGGATCATGTTTCATATAGGCCTCTTGCCATACAATTCAGTGGTTATTTAGTTCCTCCTGAAGATAGCGATAGCAACTCTGTCTTCAGGCACACCACCAAGAGAAAATGCTCTCCATTACGATACATGTTATTAGTGAAATGGGTAAATCATTAAATTCTAATTTTTCTATGTATCCAAGAGTTCACTAATGGAGATATTCTTCAAAGTTATGCAACTGCAGTACAGAAAAAAATAAATATCCAAATATCTCTCTAATCCATGCAAAATAACAAACAATAAAAACAAGAATATTTACAAAATATCTAAAACCAGATGCTTTTTGCATGTCCTACCTTTCTTTTGCGAAGTCTGACTTGATAATCTGCTGGTTCCTGGGTGGTCAAACCATCATCCTTTATGTGTAAACACGGCATGCCATCTCCTTCCTTGACTTTGAGAAGACTTCTGTTTTGCTGTTCTGAGAAAGCACTCTCCTCCAGGCCATTTTCAGCTGACATTCCACTGGGGCAGAAAGGAGCCTGCAGAAGGCAGCTTCCATAGTTTGCTTGTAATAAAGGTGGTCCTCTCTCGGAGCAAGGAGTAGCAGAGGACTCACTGAGGAAGTTTCTTTCACCTCCATCTTTAGGGAGGTCATTTTTCCTTCGCTGCTGAGCAATTACAGCAGAGTTAAGCAACTGCTTCTCAGGCACGATCTTTTTCACCTTCAAAGAATCACATGTGTTTACTTGTGATGTATCTTTTATGTCACATAAGTTTATGTCATCAGAAAGCGCCAGGCTTCTCCTTATAGTATCAATAACTTTTCCTTCCTTCATATCTTCTACTTGATGTAAATCAGGGTCACTCGCCATTATCCAGGAGTTACATGAATCTTGGTTAGTCTCCGTCACGGATAGGGTCTTTACCGAGGAACCTGATCCTGCGATGTTATGTTGGTCTGAGATTTTATGCCCTTCAGTAGCTATAATCTGTTTATGATCTACAGAATATAAATCTGAATCTGTATCTTCATCAGAAACATGCACTAATGTCTCTGTGCTGGCCTCCAGAGAAAGAAACTGGTCTTCACCTTCGTGACTGTCATTGTCATCCACTTCTTTTGCAACATGACCCATTGGCCTCCCAGAGAAATCTCTCAGCTCAGACCTGTCATGACAGCAGTCTGGTAAAGATACACACTTCTCCTTGCGGTCTGCATGTAGAGTTGCATCTTTTTCCATGCTTTCCTGCACGCTGTCAGCGGCTAGTCCATGATGACATGCTGTGTTCAAATCATCAGAATTAAATGGCAACCCCATCCATTGGGTCACATGCTCTTCCCAGCTTCTCTTTCTGATGGCCGCAGACATGTCATCGTAGTTTAACACCAGACAGAAAGATGCATTCCAGACAAGGTGAAACGAGATGGACCTTGGTAAAAGATGACTTCAAACTCAGTGATAGAGGAAGAGAGTGAGTTTTCTCATTTTCCACCTATTAAAGAATTTAAAAAGATATAGTTAAGGTTACATTTCTAAAGAGTCAACATATATTTGGGAGAAGAGAACATTCATTTACTCTGGTAAGAGATATATATAATAAAGCTTATGCTTAGTAACTTTAACATTGCTTATATAAACACAGCCATAAATCATTACCTTTTAACATAAAAATGAATTTAAAAGTTAATGAATAAATAAAAACCATAAAGATGTAGACTAGTTCTATGATATTCATGGATATACTTTCTTTTTTAATTTTTCTCAAGACAGACTTAACTTGTCCATAAGATCTCAGCATTCTGAAACTCAAAAGTCTCATCAGAATGCTGTTCTTCTGCTAATACTCTATTTGTCTAATCTTTATTATGTTGTTGCTTTAAAGGAGAAACTTTTTAAAAATTTCTTTATTTTTCATTTCAATGAACATCTATAGAGATTTTGGAATTCCATTCATTCATTGTTGCACCCCTCTCCCCGCACCCCCCCCCCGTTTGCTCCTCTCCTTCAAACGCAAAAGAAAAACTCAAAAGGAGAAACTTTTAAGTGTGTGAAAAATTCACTGTGTTTTTGAGAATGTTTTTCATTAAGAAGTATTCTAAAATTAGCTGAAAAAAATGTATTTACTATTTCTGGTAAAAAAAAAATCATTGGCAACTTTTAAAGACATTTCTCAACTAATGGATAAAGCTATAGATATGTAGCATTTAAAATTCATTAAGAAAATATTTGTATTGTAATTGTTGTTGTAGTTATATGCCACCAAGTGGCCTGTGACTCATAATGAGTCTAGCTCTGCATCCTGTCCTGTACTGAGCCAGTCTCTGACTCTGACACGTCTACCCCTATTTCTCCAGTTACTGCGTCAATCCATCTAATCCGAAGTCTTCCTTTCTGGTACTCTCCCTTCACCCTTCCAAGTAAGACATCCTTCTCCAAGGATTGGTCCTTTCTGGCCACATGTCCAAAGTATGTGGGACAAAGCTTCAAAATCACATCTCCAAGGAGAAATTTGCTCTCATACTTTCCAATACAGACCTGTTTGTTCTCTTGGTGGTCCATTGTATGTTCAATACTCTTCTCCAGCACCATAACTCAAAGGCATCGGTAAGTTCTTCTTCTGTCATCCTTAGCCATTGTCTAGGTCTCCGATGTACAGCAAGTAATTGCAAGGACCATGGCCTGAATAAGACATATTTTAATCACTAGATTGAAGCCATTACTCGTTAGCATTTTGGAAAGGTCCCTGACAGCACACTTTTCCAATGAAATTTGTTTTTTGACTTCCTGACTGTTGGTAGGGCCAAGAGTGTTGATTGTGGAACTAAAAAAGCAGAAATTATTAACAACTTTAATCTCATGTCCATCTATCATGGTTCTGTTAACTGGCCCAGTGGTAAGATTCTTTGTTCTTGATGTTGAGCTTCAATCCATATTGAAGATTACAGTCCTTGACCTGCTGCAAACACTTCAGGTCCTCCTCAGTTTCAGTGAGCAAGGTTATTTCATCTTCATAATGTAGGCTGTTGATAAGTCTTCCTCCAATCCTGTGCCACATTCCTCTTCATAAAGCTCAGACTTCTGAATGATCCATTCCGTATACAGATTGAAAAAGTGTGTCTTGATGCATTCCTTTCCTGATTTTGAACCAGGCAGTGTTTCCCTGCTCTGTTCTGAGGACTGCTTCCTGGTCTAAGTACAGATTTCATATGAGTACGATCAAGTATTCTGAGATTTCCACTCTTCTCAGGGTTAGCTAAAATTTGTTATGATCCACACAGTCAAATGCCTTTGCACAAAGAAACACAGATAAGACATTCCTCCTGTACTCTCTGCTTTCAGCCAAGATCCATCTGACGATAAGGTCTCTAGTGCCATGACCTCTTCTAAACTCAGCTTGTATTTGTGGTTATTCTCTGTCAATGGATTGTTCCAGTCATTTTCTTTATAATCTTCAGCATTTTCAGATTCAGGATTTTGATTGTGCGTGATATTAGTGGAAGAAAAGTATTCCTTTAGCTTACATGCTTTTCAGATTTACTTTTTTGAACAGAAGGAATTAAAGAAACGTATTCTCTGGTTTGAATTGCTAAAATCACCAGGGAATTATGTGTGCAAAACTCAAGCTATAACAATAGCAAATGTAATGTAGAATTGTGTAAAAGAACCGATTGCTGTTGTGACGTGCCATCGAGTAGCCTGTGACTCGTAGTGACCCTATATACACCACCTCTGAAGCCTGCCCTGTTCTAAGCCAGTCTCATTGACTCCAACACACCAACCCACATTGCCTCAGTTACTATGTCATTCCATCTCATCCAGGGTCTGCCTCTTCTGGGCTGTTCCTCCACTGTTCCAAGCATGATGTCCTTCTCCAAAGATCAGTCCTTCCTGGCCAGGTGTCCAAAGTATGTGAGACAGAGCTTCAAAATCTTAGCCTCCAAGAAGAAACTTGGTTTCACCCTCTTTAAGATAGACTCACTTGTTTTCTTGGTGATCCATGGTATATGTTCAAGACTCTTTTCTAGCACCACAACTCAAAGAGTCAATAAAGATTCCAAACAACCAGGATTTGTTTACTCAAAGAAGTGACTAACAAATGGAATAATCTAGTTTAGGTCATGTATGGACTCAGAAGGATAGTATATATCATACACATACCTTAGGATAAAACTGTTTCTATGTACAATTATTACTCCTACTAGCAGGGCACTCTGGTGGCCTAGTGGTAAGGGGCTGAGCTGCCAACCTGAATGCACACAATTGAAACCCACTAGCTGCTCTGCGAGAGATAGATGGGCAATCTCCTCCCATGATATTTCTTACCTCTGAAAACCTGCTGGATGAGTCATTTCTGACTCACTGGTACCTAACAATAACAATAACAATAACCAGATCAGAAGCCTTGGTGGCTACTAACTGAAAGGTCGGGAGTTCAAATCCACCCACTTGTTACATGGCTTGATGATCTACTCTCTTATAAATTAAAAAAATCAAACCAAGGGCAGTGCCCTTGGGCCAGTTCTAATTCAGTAATCCTCCATATAGTTTCTGGGGTTATAAACCTTTATAGTATGGACAGCCCATCTTTCTCCTGTGTAATTGTTGGGGGGACTTGAATTTTTAAAATTTCAGTTAGTTGAGCACCATAATGAAATAAACTACCAGGGATTCTCCCCATAAATAGTACAGCGTAGAGAACTTTTGAGCAGTTCTACTTTGTCATGTAGGGTCACCATAAATTGGAATCGGCTCCCACCTCTGTTGCACACAGCAGTAACTACTACTAGCTCTAAGGTGTTTTTGAATCATTATTGCTGTGTCAGGAAGACCACAGTACAAAAATTCTTTACATACATGATCCCATTTAATCATAACAACTAAAAATGTTGTTGTTGTTTGTTGTTATGTGCTGTCGAGTCGCTTGCGACTCATAGCGACCCTATGTACAACAGCCCTAAACTCCGCTCTGTCCTGTGCCAATCGCACTGTCTCTGACACTCCCATCCTAATTATCCCAGTCACTGAATCAATCCACCTCATAGAGGGCCTTCCTCTCCTGCACTTCCCTCCACCCTCCCAAGCATGATATCCCTCTCCAAGGACTGGTCTCTCCTCACAACATGTCCAAAGTATGTTAGACGGAGCCTCAGAATCCTTGCCTCCAAGGAACCACCCAGTTTAACCCTTTCCAGGACAAATCTGTTTGTTTTCTAGCAGTCCATGGTATTCTCAATACTCTTCTCCAGCACCACAGCTCAAAGGCATCAATTCTCCTATCCTCCTGGGTCACTGTCCAACTCTCTGATGCATAACAAGTGATTGCGAAGACCATGGCCTGTATCAGACACGTACCATCAAATCAGATCTGACTGGTACAGGAGGAGATCATCCATCTTCTCTAGCAGAGCATCTGGTGGATTCGAACTACACACTTTTGGGATTGCAGCGCAGCTTCTTGCCACTAAGCCACGAGAGCTTCCTTAAAAAATGTAGTTCCTCTAATTATCTGGAAACTGTTGAATATTAGAGAAATGAAATAATCTGTGCAGGGTTATAAATCAGGACTCAAAGTAAGCCTTAGATCTAAAGACCAGGCTTTACGTTAAAAAGCTTCAAGTATTAGGAGATTCTACTGCTGCACATCTCTTGCTCTTCACAGTAATTCTTGAGTATGTATAAACTCTAAACATTTCAGGCATGAGTTCAAGTTAACCAAGGAGAAAACAAAAATCCAAGAGAACTGGGTCTATTCTTCAGAACTTTAGACTTAATCTCATTAGCCTTTAAGAAGCTAAACTTGTAAACTTCTATTAAAATTTTCCTATAAAAAAAAAATAAGGGCAGAATCGTAAATAAATTCTATGTATTTGTGCTTGTTGTCCAAAATTATTTAATCCCTTAGTTAAAGGAAACAAGTTGTAACAATGTAAACGCAATCTCATAAAATAACATCTAATCCAAATATTGTCCCATAATATAATCAAATAACTGGGCTATAAAAGAAAACTCATTCAACAAGCAGACATTGAATATTTACTCCACACAAGAAGCTGTCCGCATATAACCTGGACTGGCCTGTAGATTCCGGCAATGAACAAGATAAAGTGATGTGCTGGTGTAGGGACACTTCAAACTGTTCAAAAGGATTTCCAAGCTATTTTGACTAAGCATATATCCAAAAGGTGAATATCCCCATCCTGAACTGAGAAGGAATGTAGCTAGAATTCTGGTATTCCATCTTGACTGAATAGCTTCCTGGATAATATCTGGCTCCCTCAAAAGTCTGTGACCATCTTTGAAAGTGGTCACCATTCAGAGTTTCCATGTGGGCATTCACTTTGCACTCAAAAGAAAACATAAAGTCACTGAATTCCGTGCATAAATCATTATCGTGTGGGAGGCTATGGAAAGTGGAAAAAACT